CTAACATTATTCATTTATTCAAAATTTTCAGATAGTAGAAACCATTAAATGGAATCGTCAATCATCATCATCATCATCATCATCATCATCATCATCATCATCATCATCATCATCATCATCATCATCATACCAAATGCTTCAACTGGTTGTTCTTTGACACTGGTCTATGTATTGTTGGTTTCTTCTAAATGATCCAACTCTTAGTAATAATCAATACTTCTGTTGTATATATTAATAAGGTTTTACACGTACCTGAAAAATGTAAATATTTGAGTGTCAATATTAATTCAAATTATACAACATTTACCATAAGACGAAAGTGTTATTGATGAATTTGTTAATTTAGGTAAGTATATAGAAATCTATAATGAAGCTATAGCCTGTTCAGCAAAAACAATGTGGTTCGAATCAATGTCGAAACTTACAGAACTATTTAATTTAAGGGTTTATTTACAGCTGTGTAGTAAGTCCTATGAATTGGATTCCATGTTGTGTAGAATTGAATCTGTTAGATTGGATCGATTCCATTCAGATTGAAACTTGCCTTCATATTCTGTATGATTCCTTCAGTCACTAATTCCTTCCGATTTTCCTTCTATTCTCTTTAATCCGATCTTGCTGGATTTGTGGTAACAGGTTTTCCATTTCCGCTTAGTGTAACATACTAATTAAACCTGTCGACAGGCATACACTACATTATTGTAATTGTTTGTTAAATTAATCGATATATTTAATGGGTATTTAATCCGTTCAGAGGTGACACTCATCTGTCATATCATGTACTAATGAGCTTCTACCTCTCAATCAATGAATCAATCTATTAATCTGTATTGTGACCATTCGATTAAGTAAATCGATTCATGCAACGAAGTTGAGTTAGTTATCTCAAAACTCTATAGATTTAGGAGTGAAATGGTTTGAACTTAATAGATTTAGCACGAGTATTAGACATATTAATCAACCAAATTATACTGTATCATGTTTAGAAACTTTACGTGATAATCAATGTAAATATCTGATTATCGATATAATGTAATCAATACAAAATTTTCAGAATGGGGATTTGTAAGGATTGTGGTAAACTTAATAGTTGAACTAATCAGTTGATCTAAGCTAGACGACCACTGGAAACCTGGAAGCACTGGATGTCACTTTCATCTTAGTGTGGGAATCGTCAGAATTGCGGATCAATCGTCCCACACGCATGATCCTGCCCAATGATCTACGGTCATGCGCGCTAATGCCTGTTTACCGTTATAAAACATTAATAATTTATGTTGAAGCGCGTGAATCAGGTTCCATGTTTCAAAGAATATTACCGTCGAATTTAAATAGTGAGTGCAATTTCAAATCAGTTCCTTTTTCACAACACAGATATAATGTCACTATTTAGCTCAGTTGATTATTATCTTTGATGTATCATGTAATGTAACAATTTGAATAGTGTAGTGGAGGAGTTCACAAGAAAAACGGGTAACGGTTTACACTTCATCAGACATGTCCACATGAGAAGTAGAAAATTACCACTGTACAATTGACTGTTTACATTCTTTAACTTAACCATATCGTCGTCAGTGGAAGTTTCATGAATACGGTTATGAAATTAACAGTGATCATGAATCCATTAGTCAACAAATGTTCTAGGAAAAACTAAGAGCTCCAACATCAACATACTTCAATGTGACACATGTTAGGTGTGCGTCGCACTACGTTTCAAGTGCAAATATATGTATATGTTCAAAGTGTCTTATGGCTTGTATATTGATTGAATGAAACCAGAGATGGAATGGACAATGTTTGTAGATCAAATACAACATAATAGTTTTGCCTACATTGATATTGTGAAGAGTCTATAGTTCAGCATTCCACATCGACGAAGATGTAGACATATGGATCATGACAATTTTGTTCTTTTCCATCAGTTATTGGCATTCTTTTAAGTAAATTCCGTTGTGAATTCAAGTCAACGCTCAGTAGACACTTGAAGAGGTACCGCGAATAGCTATATTATTGTGGATGAAATATGTGTGAACTGAAAGACTTCATTGGACATGTGAGTGGGATATGAATACTACAAGAATATCTCATCGCTTTGAGGATGGAATCATCAACATAGATGGTTGAATTTTCCCACTGGATGCGTTAATGCTAATGACAACTGAATAAATACTTATAAAAATTGTAATACAATATTTCCTAGTTAAACTTATGCACATGATTATAATAGCTGAGATACTACTTAGTCATTCACGTTGAAGTAGATAGTTTCTCAAGTAACCACTCTCCTAAATTTTAGTCAAATGTAAAGTCAATAAGGTATTGGCTCAATATCAGGGGGTTCTGTGTCATTGGTAACTGTCAGTCATAGTAGTTTCGAACACCATTCTCTACTTCACTGTCCTAAGGTCAGCTCTTTGGAAATGTGGGTTTTTAATTGTGCTAGGTGAGCTAGAGGCCATCATGAAACAACTTTAAGGGCTATACGACTGTGTTCGAGCTAACATTTTCATGTGAATACCGTTCTATCAGAAACCGATCAGTAGAACTTTCTTATAAGAGATCATAAACTCAGTGTAGTGTGAGAATTGTTCAAGAGAGTAACGGAAGAGGTGAAAATGGACTTTATCAAGGAAGTTGATAAGTAACTAGTAGGTTTATCAATCTCTGAACATATATCTTAATGGGTATATTTTGTTGTGAAGTGAAACACGTGAATCCAGAGCAGTGATTTTGACATTAAATCATTTAACCAATTGTTCTTAGATTCGAACTCCACACTACCAGTTATTGTAGAGTATCGATAAACCACAATAGTTATCTAACCAAGGTTGGTTCACAATGTAAAACTAGAAAAAGATGTATCTGTTGGTGAGTTGAAAGCTACTTAATGAAATTTAATCTGTAGTGAACTGTTTGATAAAACCAGAGCAAAAGAACAGTCTTCAGTTTCACGAGATCTAGTAATCATTTAGTGATAAGTTCAAAGTATATTGTTATTACTATGTTATTGTTACTATGGTGATTGACAATGAATGATTATTTGTAACAGTGAATGAAATAAAATGATTGACTATTGCAGACGAACTCATGTTCAAAACAATGTGATACCATTTTAATTCATGAATATTCTCGATGATGGTGGACATGGACAGTCCACCTAAGGGAGTTGGAAAACCCTTATTCCAAATCAATGGCGTACATGAGCTTCAGGATCCTGAAGGAGAAAATGGCATATGAATCAATTATTGGTCACCAGCTAACACGGGACTTCATCTCCTGACGTTGCACCACTGCCTTGTGGGTTAAACCTTCTAGATCAAGGACTTCTGGTGTGGCCTCCTAAGAAAACCACCTGGTTCGATTTTTGCACCCGGCTAGTATCCCAGTCCTCACATAAACTGAATGGTTTATGTGGCGCATATCTATTTGGTGCCTCATTATACCAATATTTATGCGTTTGAATAAATAAATAATTCTCAATGAATGGTTTCACCATCTCTACAAAACTATGGGACAGTGATGGATTATTTAGATTTCCGTAAAAAAATCTCTAATATTATTTTAACAGTAAACTACAAGTGTCGGTGACAAGGAGAGGAACTACAATGGACTCATACCAAATACAGTTTAAATGATGATTTCTTAAACAATAATTAAGAGTACTGATGAATGCTCTTTTGATATTCATCAAACTGATAGATTTATATCCACTTGGTATTGTTTGTTTGAATATTCCCATTGATGTCTAGGATTGTAGTTGATCAATCTCTTATTGGCATATGTGCATACTGTGTGTATTGCATCGATATAGCCTTAATTCAAAAGCATTATATACAAAGATGGATATTGGCTAACTGTAGAATCCAGTTTGACTCTCGTTTTGCTCTATTTGGGACTCGTCAGCTATGAACATCAACTCTGAGGTGCAGGTAAATCCAACTAACGAGTCCCAAATAGGACGAGAAGCACTTCCTGGATTCCACTGCTAGTCACTATTTACCTTTGCATATATTGGTACGTTTATTGTTTGTCAAATCGAAATGAAGTCTTTAAATTGATCTGATTTTTAAATAAGAAATGGTAGACAATTGTGATAATCGAATCTAATGCAATTTGTTTACTTGTTTTTTGATAGAATATGGGTAAATTACACGTTAGTGAATTTTCAGGAAGTCGAAACAAGGATTCAATTGAGAATGGTGAACCTCCAACGAAGGTAAATCATACTTAATTAATGTGGAATTACTTCCATAAAACTGCTAAGTGTTTCTTATCAACATATTATTCTTTAAAATGTCATTGACTTTATTTGATCAGCTTTAGAATAGCATTCTCAAGTTTTTTACACTACGACTACTACTAATCATTAATACCTTTTCGTTGTTGCTACCTTAACGTGGTGGTCAGGCTTGCCTATCATGATGAACTAATCGAGCTATAATACTAGCTGCATCAATCATTCCTCATGATCCTACCATACCAGACAAGCAAAACCCAATGTCCAAAGGCGAAGTCGTACTGCTGATTGTACAGAGGTATGACGGCAGTATGGTGTTTGCTTCAGACAACCAGCATAATAGTGATGCTGCCTTCCCAAAGCCAGGGGTGGGGTTAGAAAAGGTCAACCCTAGAAATGCACACCTCGCCTTATCCCATGAATATCCGTCTCCGGCAGTCAGGTCTCAATAAGGACGGAGCTAACACAAAAATTACTCATAGAAAGGTCGTGTGTGATCGACCTCAAACAGTTGTCTCTTGAGCACTGCGGTCACGCTCTCAGGTCACTAAGACCACCCCTAATCCAATTCCTTTTTCAGGGACCTCCAGAAGAACCCTTCCACGGTATGGGCAACCGGGAAGGGATAACCGCCCTCATACCTCTAACAGCACTGAAGACCACTGTTGTTAACTTGTTGTATTATGAAGCTTCCCTTTTGTAGAACTGCATTTTCTTGATAATCTCACATATTATTATAAAGTTGATAGAAAAAAGGCATGTAGATGGATTAAAAAATAAATCATCTCTTTAAATAATAATAATAATACAATGGAACAAAATCAAAATGAGACAAACAGATGAAAGAGAAAGGTTCCAAAAAAAAAAGAAAAGAAAATCAAATTTTTTTTCATTTCGGGAAAAGAAAAGAATCAATGTATTAAGAATTCACTGAATGATCAAGTAATTTCGAGTTCCATAATGGATCTAGTTTATTCAATGGATCATCATTTGAATTGAACTCGAACTCATGATGATATAATTCAGTAGTATTAGTTGTTGTAGAATTGGAAAGATCTTCAAAATCTTGACGAGTATAACGTTTATTATTTGTAGAATTTTTAGTTAAATTATTTAAATTTACTAAATGTTCAAATAGTTTAGATTCATGTGTCAGTTTATCGATTTCTGAAGATTGTGATAGTAAATTAGGCTGATTATCTGATAGTGATATAATACTTGAAGGATTTACATTCAACTCATTGGTCGGTTGTTGTTGTTGTTGTTCAACATTAACAGGCATTTCATTCTATTAAATAGAAGATAATGAAATAATAAAAACTGAGTGATATAAACGAAATACCATTGTGAAATTAACCAAACCACTTCAACCTTGATATCTATATACTACTCATTGTCAACAATCCATACAATACATATAGCTCATAACATGGATTGACTTTGGTTAGATAACTTGAAGAACAAGATGTACTGAACATCTATTACGTAATAGTATAGGACACCTAAACCATGAACATTCTTAATGTCACTGTGGATCAGACCAAGGATCGTCAATCCTCGCGGCGAGAGATTAGCCCCTTCATATCACCTAATTCAACAGTTAACACTTCTAACAACAGTCAATTTTAGATACCATCAGAATAGGGTTGTGAAGGTTATTAATTCTTTGATTGAGATTATGAACCGATTGATGTTAGACCACCATTGAAGACCTGGAAGCTCTGGACGGCCATATCCACGATCCCGCTCACAGGATTCGAACCCATGGCCTTCAGTCTCACGCGCGAACGCTTAACCTTTAGACCACTAAGATGGCATTCTGTTATAGCCCAAAACCGCCGATTAGAGAGCAGTGAATTATCGATCGGACAAATGACGCGTAAAACACGTGCAAGCAGTCTAGAGTCCTGATTGGTCTTGCTTTCCGCCTAGCCCAGTCAGTTAAGTCCAGAACATCAGTCTCAGCCTCGGACATATGAATCCTTATATTTCAAACACACTGAGTTTATATACCAATCAAACAGACCACAACGTAGCATAAAATAGAAAATAACATTTGCACAAGAATTAGCTAGATGTGGCTGGGAATGTGGGAGGCAGCGACTAATAGACATGGCATAATTCAAGAATGGTAAAACGTATAATAATGATTCATAGGTCAAAATAAAGTTTATAATAATAGGAATATAAATATGAATAGTTTAGTTATTTAACAATTATACGATAAAAATATACGTTTAGTATTGGTCCATAAAAGGATCGCATAGTTACCATTCATTATGCTTATCGGGACATAACACATTGAGATACTAGGTGAACACCGACTATTGTTGTTCATGATAGTTATCTCACGCACGAAATGATTAAATTCACACTGCTGAAAACTCTAACTGGAAGGAAATAGCAGTACAGAGTTTTTTTTTGAGTTTTCAAAGTTATTTAACCAAAGTCAGTAAACGATGTGAAGCCCCAAAGTACCATTTACCTTTAATGTAGCTTGATTTGAATCATCATTTTCCAAATTAGAATTAGTAAACTTATCTTCAGTTTCTACACTAGAAGAAGTAATCGATTCAGATTTAGTAGACACGGACCATTTATCAACTACTGAGATTAAATCATCTAATTTTAAAGATTGTTTTGAAAAAATATTATCCAATGAATTAGTCATGTTGAATTGTGCGGAATTAGTGATTGAGTTACTTGTTTTCGAATTATTCGTTGTTGTTGTCAGTGTTGTGATCGTTGTTATTGTTGATGATGGTCGATGTCTTGGACCAATAACAATATCTTTTTTAGCTACTGTCTCGATAGCAGAATAACCAATTAATCGAGCAGCAGTATATAATTGACATGAATTATTTAATACACCATGACGTTGTTGACATAGATAACCAGCTATAGTGAATACATCACTCATTCTACCTAACATATCTGCATGTAATATACCAACTGATGCAGTGACAAATATTCCACTTAATTCAGCACCATATTTACAAACAACTGCTATAGGTCGAATTAAATTACGTTGTTGTTTATAATAACTATGTACGTGATTAATGAATGCAACTAATTGTACAATATTTGGATCATTAATTGAACTATTTTTATTATTTGATAAAGGAATATTCAATGGAAATTGATGATGATATGTTAAATGAACTAGACTACGTGTTATCTTTGTATTTAAATCTTGTACAGTAATAATTCGTTCAGTCCATGGATGATGTTGTGTTGAAGAAGTTAGATTACGATTTGAATCATTCATGTCAATATCATTATTATTATTATTATCACTATTATCTTGTGATATTACATTCCCTTCAATATAAGATTGTTTAATTGATTGTAGTCGTATTTCCAAATTACTTCCAGGCAATAATAATCTAGCACCAGTTTTATTAACTGGTAAATATGCTGGAATACGTAATGGATCATTTTCATCATCAAAAGCTCCTTCATCAGATGAAATAGAAGAATAAAATGAATTAACATTACGATTATTACGAGTTGGTATTAATGTGACTATAATTTCACAGCTTTGTTCAAGTATCATTGTCCAAAAATCGATCATTGTTTTAATCATTGGAACTTGTGTAATAATATACCGTGGACACCATATACCTAAATTATTTTGAAAATCAATATGACTTGCATTAATATAATCATTTTTTAATGATTTTAATACAACACGATTATTATCATAAGGAACAAAATCTTGATTACGATTTTTTGATGAACAACAAAGAGCAATTGCATGTGTTGGTCGTTTACCATTGAAATAAACAGAAGTTGTAAAAGCATTGGCAAGTGTTTGTACTTTTTGCCATGCTTTATTTAATCGAGTTATAGTATTAGTATTAGTAAGATTTGATAAAGAAGTTACCGGGCAATCGTTATCACCTGTAGAAATTAATTCATTGGGATTTTCTAGCCATGTAAGAAGTAATTCAGCAGATGCAATAAATCGATTTAATACAAGTGGATCAGATAATAGTTCCGGTGGTGGAAATTTTGATAGAACTGATTGACAGTTAACGGGATTCGATGCAACAGTTGAAGACGTATGTGGATCAGATTTGACTGGATTTAAAGAAGAATTTTTACTTTCATTGACATTTGTAGGATTGGATGATGATGAAGATGATAACGATTTGATAAGATTTGACGTAGAGGACGGTATTGACGGAGAATTCGGATTACCTGAATAGGCCTCACGTAAACGTTCTTCTCTCAGTTTCGCATCTAAATCATCCTGTTAAAAAAAGATAAAATGATTAGTTATCTGTACTACGTAATGATACCACCGCTACCATTGAAATCTCAAGATTTAAACGAACACATTAATAACGTGCATTTTCGCAGTAAAGTAAATACTTTTCAGTTGAAATATTCCTTAAAAATAATGTAATAGTTGAAATAATGAGTCAATTGTAGTTAGACGACTATGGAAAACCTGGAAGCACTGAGCGGCCGTTTCGTCCTATTGTGGGACTCCTCAGCAGTGCGCAACCACGACCCCGCCTCGCGAGATTCGAATCCAGGACCTATCTGTCAATTGACTGATGATTTCAACTATTGAAATTAATAAAATCTCCACAAAACCCCTTCTGATAATAATCATCTGCTCACTAGTGACTAAATTCAAAATGCATTTCCTGGAGTTCTAATGAGAAGCAGTGACCAGTGGAGTTCAAACAGGTCTGGTGTGAGATATCAGCTTACTGAAGACAATGGTGGACGGTGGCGCAATTTCGTAAATTGGTTAAAGTTAGACATTAACACCGTTGGATGCCGGCCAGCTCAGTGGTCTAGTGGTTAAGCGCTCGCACGCGAGACTGATAGGTCCTGAGTTCGAATCTCGCGTGGTGCGGGATCGTGTATGCGCACTGCTGAGGAGTTCAACAATGGGACGAAACGGCTGTCCAGTGCTTCCAAGTTTTCCATAGTGGTCTGGCTTCAATTGACTGATGATTTCAACTATTGAAATTACTAAAATCTCCACAAAACCCATTCTGATAATAATATAATAATTAAAAGAGATTGATATCTAACAAAAATACGACTAGACAAAAAGAAAATAACAGAAGAACAACTGACTATTTGATTGACTGATATCAAACTATTCGTTCTAGTATTGAAGAATATTCGTATAAATGACTGATGCTTAGTTTTCGCAGTACGAAATTCCTTCACTGTTTAAAATATGAGCAAACAGGTAATGGTTGAAACCTATTCACTTATTGATGTAAACCATCCACAATCAAAATAAACAAATTAAAAACTCACTTTGGTTAACACTTGTGGTTGAATAGGAGACATTGATTTCAATCTAGAGGACGATGAATAGGCATCATTATCGGTATCCAGAACTGAATTGAATGGTTTGATTTGATTTGATTTTTGTTCAGTCGAATTATTACTGTTGCTAACAGGATACTGTGAAGTTGGATAAGTTTGCGTTACATTTGTTGGTAGTAATGACTGTGTTGTTACATTAGTGTTACATTGTGAAACAGGATGTATGGACTGGCTGTGATTAGGCAGAGTCGTATAGGATTGTTGTGATGCAATCGAAATTTGCCCAGGATTCACAGGGGAATTATTTATATGAGGTATTTGTTTCTGATATGATAATGTATTTGGAAAAGATAAATTAGATTGAGGATATTGGATACCGACGATGTTGAAATTTTCTGTAGGTAGTGTTTTTGAATAGTTTTGAGGAGGATTTTGATAAGTCAGATTACTATTAATTGATTGATTTGGCCAAACAGACTGAGGAGGAAGCTGGTTAGAATTCGTTGATGAATAATTTGGTGCAACTAAAGGATTAGTTGATCGAATGGAAGTTTGAATAAAGTTGTTAGGCTGTGAGAATCGACTGTTAACAGGTATAGGAAATTGTGACAGTGACGACGTTGTTGTAGACGAGAGAACAGGAATTCGAGGATTATTCAGAAGAAATCTAGATTCGAATGTACCAGATAAATTATTTGGTTGTGAGGGAGGTATGTTCGTAGTTTGTGGGAGCGAAGTAATGGGTCGTTGACATGGAGGTACCAAAGGATTTACCATATTGGCAGCTTGAGGAGCGCCATAAGTTACAGTGGGTGAAGGACGAACAGCGGTTTTCATTGGATTGGTTGTCTAAAAATAGTGTTTTAAGTAGATCTTATATAACCAAACTTACTTGAAATCCTGCAGCAGATGATGAACCAGACATCGGAACAGCAGTTGGTTGAATGTTAACACCAGTTGTTGGGAACTGTTGAGAGTTGTACAGTGGTGTATATGTCATAGGGCCTCTAAAACGTGGCTAAGACAATAAAGCAATACATATGACAATTACGGTTTTATTATAATAATGTCAAAATAAAAGTACACTTATGTTTTACCATTTATTCCGTCAGCTTTAAAATGTAAAATGCTCAAACCGAATTAGACAGAACGACGTCAAACCCTGTGACTTGCAACTTTAATCACTAACCCAAAGTTTCTCTTTAAAAATCGTTACTGGAGCATACAAAAAAACATTAAATCAATTTATATACCTAATGGTCAGTAATAAATGAAAAACCGTTACAATTCGAAATATAGAAGGAAGTAAAGTCTCTAAATAAAACGAAACACTTGAAGGACTTCACACTTATCGCACCTTAATATGGGACTCCTAGAAGATACCAATCCAGGAACCAGTCAGAGATCGAATGTACAACATTCGGATTTTATAGCGAACACCTAAACTTTAGGACCACTAGATTAGTGTAAAACGGTATATCATCCCAATTTCAATCAACTTACGGTGTAATGCGATGACCATTTAATCCTATTAGTTACTACTGTTTCACTTCAAGCAAATCTGAACTCCATAAACGTAATAATTTTAACGGTTAACGATTTTTCGTGAGACCTGAAGGTTCTGCACTCGATGGCTGAATGAGTCATGGGTGCGCACTGCTAAAGAGCTCCATAGTAGAGCGAAACAGTTATCCAGTGCTCCCAAGTTTGTGAACCTATGTCAACTCAGAACAACAACTTAAAGTGCGAGTTTCAAAGCCATATATATATATATATATATATATATATATATATATGATACGCGATTATTAAACAGTTTGTTTGTAGTATTTCTATGTTGCCTTAATCATAAGCTTTAGTTAAACAATAAACTGCTGCTGTCTTTTACAGCTCAGAAATTAAGCTTAATTATTAGTTTAATACCACAAATGTCCTAATTACTTACGTGCTTCGGTTTGGGCACCCGGGCAGTATCACAGCCCTCACACATATCGAATGAGATTTGTGTGGCGCATATGTATTTGGTGCCTCCTTGTACCAATATCTTTGTGTTAAAATAAATAATAAATAATTACTTACACATCAAGATTTATTATTTGAGGCACATGATTGGCCTTCTCAGATTTTTGACTGGTTGATTTGTAACGAGCAAAGAAAATACAAACGGCTACATATTAGATTGCCCAAGTTTCTTTCAAACTTGTGACTATCACTTTATAATTAAATGAAAAGCAGATACATGGAAATAATTACTTTACATACCTGAGAAGTAGGATGGTATGGAAAAGGTTGACTAACATTTGTTTGTTGATAGTAAACATCAGGTGACACAGATGGAATAAATGAATTAACTACAGAATGATTCGGTGAAATAGAAGTTGTAGGAAATTGTGAAGACGCAGTAACAGGATTTGGGGGTAAATTTAACTGTTGATTTGGTTGGCTTGAAGTCAGTGTTGACACAGGCCATCCCATTGGTCCCATATACATATTAGGATGAGTAGGTACTATGGTTGGGCGCATTGCTTTCATATAGTCGCCAAGAGTTGGAAATGATGGTGTTGACACAGTCGGTAATCGAGGTGTAGTTTCAATTGTTAGATCTTTATGTATAAAGTAAGGAGAAGTATATTAAATTGAAAAATATATTGTTCAATGTTTATTTAATTGAGGATAAAAATCGGTATTTACATTACATTTCAAAAAAATGACTAATAAAGCGAATATGAACTACTGTGAGACTATTAAGTTAACAAAATCAAATTGAACATATGGAATCAATCTAAAGAATAAGGCTTTTCGATATAAAGATACCTGTTCAAAATAAAAATTATATACCGTATATTCTGAAACCATATTACAAAGGTTTAGAATGGGAGTACCTAAACCATTGTTTGACAGCTTTACGGAATGAAATACTCCATCAACTTAAATGTTTAGCGTATGGTATAGTTTAAGTATGTTCGGAAAAAAATGAGAACAGCTGTAACAATATAATAATGAAAGATACTTTAACATGGTTAGTTAGAAACTGGTTATCTGAGTAATGTACGATACGATAGGTTTCCTGGGTCACAACAACTCGGTCGCATTTGGTTTAACATATGCGCTAGGAGATAAGAGAGAAGACAATTCAAAGTAAACACGTTGATAATATCTATATTTGATTCCTCACTGAGTAGTGAATAATATGGTGTTTATTTAATACTTTAGTGCTGGTGAAATTCTATCGATTAAGCTACAATGTAGCTAATAGTCTGAGTAATTTGACATCATGTACACTATGGAGAGAGATGCTTAATGGTCAGAAGTAATCGGGAAAAAACGCTCCATAACCCAAATTTCATGTTAGTTAACTTGTCACTAAGAGATAACATCTACAATCTTGAAGGAACTGGTGCTCCCTATAGGGTTTGAACCCATATCATTGTTTCAAAATTTCCGACGTCACTATTCAGCTATTTGAGTTTCAAACATCCGGGAAAGTGATAAAAGCATAGTGCTGAAATTCTTCAGTTAAGAAAATATAAAACTACTATCAAAAAGAAGAGGAAAGTTAACATTACTTACTAGATATGGGTTTTGACAATTCATCCATTGATAAACGTAACTCTTTATTAAGGTCTTCGATAAAGTGATCAACTTCTTTATCAAGATCTTTCAATTGATTGATTAATGTAATATAGAAGTCAATGCCTTGTTTTGATTTAGACAGAATACCATCAAAGGCTTCACCAGCTACTAATATATTATCGATTTGTTCAGAACGTCTAACGATAACAAATGAAAATGTAATAAAAAATGGTATACATTAGTAATCGGATTATCTTATGAAAAATTCTTTTAACTTAGATTTTGAAGAGAATTTTCGGGCATTGATCCCCTACCAGGAGGTCCACTTATCGACTTGGAATACGCAGATGACATAGTCCTGTTTAGTGAAGACGCTGACAAAATGCAGAGTCATCTGGCCACTCTAAGCAGCAATGCCAGGATGTTAGGGATGCACCCATGGCGAAGGCGAGATATCCGTCTATCAATAAAAGGACGAGTATACTACGTGGCAGTTCGTTCTGTTTTAATTTAAGGCAGCGAAACATGGTCATTAAGAGTAGAAGACACTCGTAAGCTACTACTATTTGACCACAGATGCCTTGGAAATATTGCTGGGATCACCGGGTAAGTAATAGCGAGGTTAGACAAAGGGTATTAGAGAATGATGGTAAATCAGTTGATGAGGTTGTGAATCTTCATCGACTGAGATGGTTGGACCACGTGTTACGTATGCCTGAACACCGATTACCACGACGTGCAATGCTAACCGGGGTAGGGGATGGTTGGAAGAAAGTTAGGGGCGGCCAAACCAAAACATGGCATCAGTGCTTGAAGTCACTAACTTCTAATCTGAGCCACGTTGGACCTATCAGTGTCGTGAGCGAGCGCTTAACCACTAGACCACTGAGCCGGCCGGCATCCAACGGTGTTAATGTCTAACTTCAACTAATCCACGAAATTGAACGACACATATACGCAAAAGGTCATTGTACAGCCTCTTAATTTACTCTAATCTTCTCGACTTAGTTGCTGCACAATAAAAATAATTTTAAAACTTATAACATTTCTTCATTTTGTTAAAAAAAATTTAACTCCTAATTTTCTTTGTATACGTTTTACTGATTACTTATTACTTATTTCACAGATGATTCAAAATATTTACATCTCTGTTCCATTTCAATTGCTATTCTTACTTTTACGTCAGTCAGTCGCAACGTAGAACCTGTAAGTATGTACATCGGTTTACGTTCTTATACCTCATTAGCACAAACAGATAAAGTTGTCAGGCCAAATCCCAGAATAGTAGACGTAGTAACAGTATCAGCTGTAATAGGGAAAATTAGGCATAAAAAATACGACTCGAAAAGAAAATGTCCCCAAATGCCTTGGTACGGCCGAGGGTGAGGCGAGTTAGCTCTCCCTCGAAATACTCTCACATGGCCACGAGTACACAGCCACTGACAAAGAAGTTCTACTCACTGCCTTCTCACGACGGGGGTGTTGTTTACGAAATTGAGAGGATGCAAAAGCGAATGTCCGGCGCCTTAACCGGGTTGGTGGTCGACCTAGGGGAGTTGGAAAACCCTGATTTCAAACTAATAGTGCACATGGACTCCAGGATCGTGACGGAACAAATGGTGTATAGACCTATTGTTGGTCACCAGCTACCGTGGAACCGCATCTACTTACGTTGCTCCACTAACTTGTGGATAAGACCTCTAGGTCGGAGGCTCTGGAGGTGGCCTCCTAAGAAAACAATTGCTTCGATTTAGGCGCTCGGGAAGTATTCCGGCCCTCGAATAAATCGAATGACGAAGTGTGGCACATATATATTTAGTGGCTCTTTGCACTAATCTTTGTGTTTAAATGAATCAAAATTGATTAATAAATGAAACAAAAACGAATAAAGTTATGAGAAATTTGGTGAAAGACATAGAATGGATGCACCTGAACCATTGAAAACAATTTTGAGCCATGTCATTCAAAGTTCCTAACTATTGGTTACGATATTTACGCGGACCACAGCCAGGTCGTTTATATCAATCAAGTCCAATTGTCAGTGACTTCATGAACTGATTCCATGTTTTGGTTCGGTTGCGCCTAGCTCTCTTCCGACCAATTCCTGCACCAGAAAACATCGCTTCTTTCAACATAACCAGTTGGGGTAATTAAACGATTATGAAATTTCATCTTTGTTTCGATTACAAGTTTCCAAACGTTTTGTTATTATTAATACTATTATTATTATTATTTAAACACATAAAAATGGTACAAGGAGGCACCGAATACATATACGCCACACAAATCATTTGATTTATGTGAGGGCTGGGATATTGTCCGAGTGCCCAAATCGAACCAGGTGGTTTTCTTAGGGTGCCACACCCGAAACCTTTGACCTAGAGGTCTGATCCACAAGGTAGTGGAGCAGTCCCATAGTAGCTGGTGACCAATAATTGGTTCATGCGCCACTTGTTCCTTCAGGACCCTGGAACCCATGTGCACCATTGGTTTAGAATAAGGGTTTTCCAACTCCCCCAGGTGGACTCTCCATGTCCACCAACCCGGTTCAAGCGCCGGATATTCGCTTCTCGTCCTCTCAATTTTGTTAAAAAACAACCTCGAGGAGGCAGTGAGTAGGACTTCCCTGTCAGTGATTGTATGCACGTGGCCACTTGAGAGTATTTCGAGAGGGACAGCTAACTCTCCCCACACTCTCGACTGTAACAGGGAATTTGGGGGCATCGCTACTAACTGACCAGAAAATATTATTAAAATGACTTCTTATTAATCATTTGTCTTTAATTTGACAATTAATTGCAAAACTTATACGTAAGTGTAGAATATTGATGAAAAAACTAATTGAAAAAAATACTTTTTCATTCAACTTGTATTCGACTTTGCTTAAGATTTTTAAATAAAATAATTCAATGCTATGACCAGGCAAAAATTTACAACTTACAGTATACATCAAGCTCCCGACCGTTGTTGCTACCTTAACGTGGTGGTCGGGCTTGTCCATCATGATGAACTAATCGAGCTATACTAGCTGCATCAATCTTTCCTCAAGATCCTACCATACTAGACAGGTCGGTTGAAGAATGGTAAGACTAAAAGCAACAAACTCAAGGTAAGAAGGCGAAGTATGGGGTTTCCTTCAGACAACCAGCATAACAATGATGCTGCCATTCCCACAAATAGGGGTGGGGTTAGAAAAGGTCAACCCTAGAAATGCACACCTCGCCTTATCCCATGAATATCCGTCTCCGGCAGTCAGGTCTCAATAAGGACGGAGCTAACACAAAAATTACTCATAGAAAGGTCGTGTGTGACCGACCTCAAGCAGTTGTCCCTTGGGCACTGCGGTCACGCTCGCAGGTCACTAAGACCACCTCTAATCCAATTTCCTTTTCAAGTACCTCCAGAAGAACCCTTCCACGGTATGGGCAACCGGGAAGTGATAACCGCCCTCATACCTCTAACAACACTCAAGACTGACTGATACATCAAACTAATGACATAGATGAGAAATGAAGATGTTTAGAAAAGGATTTTCATAAGATCAAATATTTAACACAGTCAATTACATTAATCAAACTTACTTTGTTCGAATTTCTGATAATTCAGTCCATTTTGGTGCAAATTCAGCATTTAAATCAATTAAAGCTGATTGAATATTCTCTTGTGCTTTTAAATTCTGTTTAATAATATTAACAAGATGATCATGTTTTGTTTTTAAACGATTTTCAAACCAACTATTTAAATCTTGTTTATCTTGATCAGAAATAATAAGTAGATCACTATCGACATCATCAATATGTAGATTAGTTCTTAATTTATTAATTAATTCAATACGTTGTTGACGCATTTCATTGACTTTATCAAATAATCTTTGAGATTCTTTAGAGATATTATTCAGTGTTGAATCTGTAAAAGTGAATAGTGTGGTATTTTATTCATATATCATTGTTGACAAAATTCTTTAACTATAAGAAAATCAGTTTATTAAATCTTATTTAAAACCTTTTTACTTTTACTTTTTTTACTTAGGGCTGTTGCTCCCAAATGGACCACAGGCCGCTGATCAGCATTTTCCAACCCATTCCGTCCTGGGTCTTCTTTTCTAGTTCTATTCAATTTTTGTTCATTCTTCTCATTTTTGTCTTCATTTCTCGAAGTAATGTGTTGTTTGGTCTTCCTCTCCTCCTCCTTTGGCCTTCAGGATTCCATGTGGCGGCTTTCCTTGTGACATAGTTGAGTGCTTTCCTCAATGTGTGTCCTATCCACTTGCAGCGCTTCTTCCTGATTTCTTCCTCCGTTGGGATCTGGTTTGTTCTCTCCCACAGTAGGTTGTTGATGTTAGTGTCTGGCCAACAGATCCGAAGTATTTTACGTAGACAACTGTTAATAAACACTTGTATCTCCGCATGGAGCCCATCTGGGGCTACTGCCGGTCCCAAGGAGGATTGGGTATGGGGTTAGCGACCCCATCCCGTAGAAGACCTTGTTAAAAAACGCTAACCAGAAAAAAATAATTCAAACCATTTGTTTGAAACCCACAGAGAATAAATCGCATCAAAAATTTGCTGAAATAATTAAGTCCTGATTTAACAGCTTATTGATCGACATGTTTTGTCAATCAATTGTCAATCACAATTATTGATGAAATATAACGGAAACAAATTTATTAGTTTAAACTGACAAGTCAAATATTTATGATAAATTACCGCCGTTATTCTAATACAACATTGCCCCCCGAATGCCTGGATACGGCCGACAGTGGGAGAGTCAACTCTCCCTGGCAAAATGCTCTCACATGGCTATGTGCATACAATTACTGACATGGAAGTCCTACTCACTGCCTTCTCGCAGCATTATCGTTGTTTACCAAATTGAGAGGACGAAAAGCGAATGTCCGGTGCTTTCATCGGATTGATGGACATGGAGAGTTCATCTAGGGGAGTTGGAAAACCCTGACTCCAAACCAATGGTGTACATGGGCTTCAGGACCCTGAAGAAAAAAATGGCGTATGAATCAATTATTGGTCACCAGCTAACATGGGACTTCATCTCCTGACTTTGCTCCACTGCCTTGTAGATCAGACCTTTAGGTCGAAAGCTTCAGGTGTAGCCCCCTAAGAAAACCACCTGGTTAGGTTTGAGCACCCGGACAGTATCCCAGCCCTCACATAAATTTAACGATTCATGAGGCGCATATGTATTCGGTGCCTCTTTTGTGCTAATATTTATGTGTTCAAATAAATAGATAAATAAAATACAGCACAGAGCAATCAGTAAATTTATTTTTCTACAGTCACCATTTTATATTCAACTTACCAATTGAATAGAAACTTTATTATTATTATTATGATGATGATGGATTTCTGAGACTAATTCTATAAAGAATATCAACATAAGACTTACTTAACTTCTGGAAATAGTACAATGAAGTTAGGAAACCCTATTAATATCAAAAGCATTATTTAGATGGTATTTTCATTAATACATAAATAGATTATTTTTTGTTCATAATTCATTACAATAATACACTTGTAGTTAGTTAGTCATGGTTGTGTAGCTGAATTCTAAATCATGTTGAAATTACCGGTGAATCTTTAGAAATGAATCAATGGTTGTGCACTACTTAAATAATTTTGAAAGTTATTTACGTTAGTACTATTATTATTATTATGATTATTATTATTATTATTATTATTATTATTATTATTATTATTATTATTACTGTTACTTGTTTCAACTATATTAGATAGATCAATCAATCAATCAATCAATCAGAACAAATGATCCATAATGATAAACTATTATTACCAAATATTATTACTTACCATTAATTAGATCATTTACAGATGGTAACTTCTTTATAAATTCTTCTAATGATATTTTTAATGTATCATCAAATGACTTTAATTGATTGGTAATTAGTTCTTTTAATTGTATATTAGATTGTTTCGCTTGTTGATTAGCATCCGATAGATTTTTAAAGCGTTCGTTAAAATTCTTAACAATTACACTGAAATTTTTTGTTTTCTCACTTCCTTTAGTTGTCTGACGAAATAATAATAATAATAATGAGATAACCAAAATAGTTGCTGACAGTAATAATAAAACTAAACAAAGAAAACAAAGGACAACAGTCCTCAAATTCAATTTGATTAGTTGATAAGTCATCAATCATACACACATAGAGAGAGAGAGAACCTGATAATCTACACCACATTGTATCAGCACAATGAGATGAAATTATAAAGAGAATTGTCAGAACAGTGAGCGACAGTAGCATTACTTACTTACTTACGCCTGTTACTCCTCGTGAAGGAGCATAGGCCGCTCACCAGCATTCTCCATCCAACCCTGTCCCAACCAATCCTTTCTAGCTCCGTCCAGTTGTAATTCATCGTTTTCATATCTGCTTCTATTATCCGACGCAATGTGTTCTTTGGCCTTCCTCTTTTTCGCTTCCCTTCAGGATTCCAAGTTAGGGCTGGCCTCGTGATGCAGTTTGACGATTTGCGTAGTGTATGTCCTATCCATTTCCATCGTCTTTTCCTAATTTCTTCTTCAGCTGGAAGTTGGTTTGTTCTCTCCCACAGAAGGCTATTGCTGATGGTATCCGGCCAATGGATGTTGAGTATCTTGCGTAGACAGCTATTTATAAATACTTGTACTTTCTTGATTGTGGTTGTTGTAGTTCTCCAAGTTTCAGCTCCATACAGTAGAACTGCCTTGACGTTCGTATTGAAGATTCTCACTTTGATATTGGTTGAAAGTTGTTTTGAGTTCCATATGTTCTTCAATTGTAGGAATGCGACCCTTGCTTTGCCGGTCCTCGCCTTTACGTCTGCATCGGATCCTCCTTGTTCATCGATGATGCTTCCTACGTATGTGAAGGACTCTACATCTTCCAGAGTTTCGCCATCAAGAGTGATTGGATTGTTGTTTTCCGCTTTGAATTTGAGGACTTTGGTTTTCCCTTTGTGTATGCTGAGGCCTACTGATGCAGAGACTGCTGCTACACTGGCTGTCTTCATCTGCATCCGTTCGTGTGTACGTGATAGGAGGGCTAGGTCATCTGCGAAGTCCAAATCGTCTAATTGATTCTGAGCTGTCCATTGTATTCCGTGTTTTTCTTCAGATGTCGACGTCTTCATAATCCAGTCGACCACCAGAAGAAAGAGGAAGTGAGAGGGTAAACAGCCTTGTCTGACTCCGGTCCTTACTTGGAATGCATCCGTCAGCTGTTCTCCATCCACGACCTTGCGCTGTAGTCCGTCGTATGAGTTCCAGATAATATTGACAATCTTCTCAGGAACTCCGTAGTGTCGAAGAAGTTTTCATAACGTCCTCCCATCTACACTGTCAAATGCCTTTTCATAATCAATGAAGTTGATGTATAGTGATGAGTTCACTCAACTGATTGTTCGACGATGATCCGTATTGTTGCAATTTGGTCTGTGCACGACCGATCCTTACGGAATCCAGCTTCTTGATCTCGAAGTTGGGCGTCTACTGCATCCTTCATCCGGTTCAGCGACACTCTGTTGAAGACTTTCCCTGGTATTGACAGTAGTGTAATGCCTCTGTAGTTTTCACATTTGCTCAGATCTCCTTTCTTTGGAATTTTGACGAGGTGTCCTTCTTTTCAGTCCATTGGCACTTGTTCGTCCTCCCAAATCTTCTTGAATAGAAGGTAAAGCATGCTTGTGGTTGCTTCGATGTCTGATTTCAGTGCTTCAGCTGGTATGTTGTCGGGTCCTGCTGCTTTCCCGTTCTTGATTTGTCTGACGGCCATTCTAATTTCTTCCGTCGTTGGTGGGTTGACATCTATAGGAAGATCTATGTGTGCTGCTTCGATGTCCGGTGGATTCATTGGTGCCGGCCTATTCAGGAGTTCCTCGAAGTATTCTACCCATCTGTTACGCTGTTGTTGAATTTCGGTGATTGGCTTGCCTTCTTTGTCTTTGACCGGCCTCTCTGGTTTACTGTATTTCCCTGATAGTTTCTTCGTTGTATCGTGAAGCTGTTTCATATTTCCTTCTCTAGCAGCTTTTTCTGCCGTCGTTGCTAGTTCTTCCACGTATTTCTTCTTGTCGACTCTAATGCTCCTCTTCACTTGTTTCTTTGCTTCTATGTATTCAGCTTGTGCTTGGACTTTCTCTGTTCGTGCTCGGTTGTTGTTAATTGCTGTCTTCTTGTTCTTCCTTTCTTTGATCTTGTCCACTGTTTCTGTAGAGATCCATTCCTTATGACGGTATTTCTTTAGACCCAGAACCTCTTGACACGTTGAAGTTAATGCTTCCTTGATGCCTTTCCAGTTGTCCTCCATAGTAGTTTCTTCTTCTTTCAGTAGATCTTGTAAGGCTTGGAACCTGTTGTTGAGAGCTATCTTGAATTCATTGAGTTTTTCAGTATCTCGAAGGAAGGCTGTATTGAACCTTTGTAGTGCTGTAGTGCTGCAGTAGCATTATTATTATTATTATTATTATTATTATTATTATTATTATTATTATTATTAATAACAAATAAATAAATAAATAAATAATTAAACACACAAACATTGGAACAAGAAGGGACCAAACAGATATGCGCCATATAAATCATTCGATTTGTGTGAGGTCTGGGATACTGCCCAGGTGGCCAAACTGAAGCAGTAGTAGCAACACTGTCCAAGTTAGTAGAAAACGTTAAATATAAATAATATGATTCGAGAAGGATGAATTAATTCACAGAATCGAAAATAGAAAACAGTATTGAAATTCAAGATCTGATAAAAAACAAAGATTGAAAACAACTTTGACATTATGATAAACACTATGCTGTCATACAACCCCAACAATTGGGATCAAACATCGTAGGAAACTTAGCTAGATAATATGTACCTACTAACAAACTTCATGTACTGGTGTCAGATCTTAATTAAGTCAACCTTAGCTCTTTAAACATACTATCACACCACATTAGCACAATAAGATTAAATTATTCAAAAATAGATCATAGAGTAGCACAATTAGTAAAAAGGATTAGGCATTATAGATTAAAAAAGACATAAAGAGACTTCGATAATCAGGTTCTAAGGGAAAACAAACAAAAATGATTACATTTAAACCATTTCAGACGATTCTTAACCATGTCACACAAAGTCATCAACCTCCGACCACGTTTATCGAACGGATTCCAATTGAGTAATTTGAGCCTGCCAATATGGCTGAGTTTGAATGTCGATAACTTTATGTCTTGATGCCAAGTTCTGATTTGACCGCCCGTAATTTCCTCCTAGCCTACTCCCATACCAGATATCATCTTTCGAGATAGATAAATTCACAGTGACTAAACTAGCATAAGCGTACATTATATCACCATTTTATATTTATCTAACAGAAGGTAAAAAACTTACGACTAGTATATTGAAAAATTCTTCCACATCTTTCATTTTAATAGACAGATTTTCAAATTCACTATCGCCATCAACACTTAGGTTTACCAAGCCTGTACAAAAAAAAAATTCAAATATGTGAATTCAATATAATCATAAAATTGATGATATTCACATTTATGCTTACGAGTATCTTCGACTATAAATGGCCATGTTTCGCTGCTGTAAATTAAAACAGGACGGACTGCCGCGCAGTATACTCGTCCCTTAATTGATAGACGGATACCTTGCCTTCGCCGTAGATGACGTAAGTTGGTAAATGACAAACGAGCTTTTCGAATCCGTGCAGAGATTTCATCACACACCAACCCATTAGGGATGATCAGACTTCCAAGATAAGTGAAGTTGTCAACGCATTCAACTATTTCGCTCCCTATATTTAGTTCAGGTGTTGACGCAGACCGGTCCTGAAGCACCAACTTGCATTTACAGCTTGAGAAAAGCGCATTCCAAACATTCTGGCATTGTTGCTTAGTGCTACCAGAAGACTCGGCATTTTGTCAGCGTCTTCACCAAACAGGACTATGTCATCTGCGTATTCTAAGTCGATAAGTGGACCTCCTGGAAGGAGATCAATACCCGAGAGTTCAGTCGATGAGAGTGTTATTTCCATCAGTAGATCTATGATGAAGTTAAACAAAAATGGGGAAAGTGGACAGCCTTGACGGACACCACTCGAGGTTGCAAAAGTAGATGACAGTTCGCCATAAGCTCTCACTCGACTAGTAGTGTTCGAGTAAAGAGCCTTCACAAGGTCTATGTACTTCTGAGGTACGCCTTTCAATGACAGACTCTGCCACAGAATCTCGCGGTCTACAGAGTCAAATGCTACTTTTAAGTCAAGAAAGACCACCATTGTCGGACGCCGATAAGTATGTCTATGTTCTAGAACCTGACGAATGGTGAATATGTGGTCGATGCAGCCACGACCAGGTCTAAAGCCAGCTTGATTCTCTCGTGTTTGCAGTTCACGAGTCTTAGTTAAGCGTCTGATAATTATCGAGGCTAGTATTTTAGATACTATATTAGTTCAACTAATCCATCTATGGTTGTCACAGGATGATTTTGACCCTCTCTTATATATCGGGACAATAAGTGATTGCGACCAGCCAGATGGGATTACGTCCAACTCCCAGATCTTAGCTAAAATATTAGTCAACCTAATCGCTAAAATTGGACCACCATCCTTAAAGACCTCTGGAGCCAATCCATCTGGACCAGGGTAGTTGTAGAGTAGCTGCAGGCCAACTGAACTGCTCCTTAAAGTGTTCCGCCCATCATTCCAAACGTCTGAGCTGGGAGCAGATAAGAGCGTCGTCTTTTTCCGAGATAGTCTCACTTACACTTGACTTTTAAGTTCCAGTTTCGTTTATGAGTCTGAAGAGCTATCTGGTGTTACCTACAGCCGCCGTCTTTTCCATCTCGTTTGCTCTCGTTGCCCACCACTGCTCACGGTCGTTCCTTAAACTTTTGCTTCATCTAGATCTGATTTGCTTTCGCTCATTATCGTGTTCAGAGCCTGATGGGAAGAGTTTACGATAGTCCATCAGTACCTATATAAACTGAAGTAGGAGAAGACGATTTAAAAGCTTCAGACAGGTAGCTAAAAGTCAAATGTGTTAACCACTGGTTTTTAAAGATATTAAAATATAAGTGTGACTATAGATGGAATCTAGACATAGTGGTCGAGTTTGCCTATCGTGACGACCCAATGCAACTACATTGGCTGGAACATTCACTGTTTCACGTCCTATTACACTTGGCGGGTTGATTAGAGGGCAAGAAAACTAGAAGTAGTAAACTCAGGGTTTGAGAATGAAGTCGTACAACCAACTGTACAAAGGTGTAATGGCAGCAAAGTGTTTTTCAAAGATAATCAGCATATACAGTAATGCTGCCTTCTCACAACCGAAAAGGACAGTTAGAAAACATTAGCACTAAAAATAGCGTACATCAAATTGATCGAGAGATTTCTTTTGACGGAGGTAAGAGCTGTCGGACTACGGAGCTAATACATTAAAAACAATACGCGAAAAGGTTTCAAAGCAGTTATCGCCATGGCATTGCGGTCATGCTCGTAGGTCACCCAAATCACTTTCTTCTATAAGCCTCAAGGAAGAGTAACCTTCCATGATGTAGGAAACCGAGAAGTGTCCTCATACCTCTCTCTCCCTATATATATATGAAACAAAATTAACAAGTTGATTTTCTAGAAAAACTAACTTTTTAATTGTTTCGACAATTCACCACTAGGATCTCTATCTACAGCATCCATACGAGCGAATAGATTGTAAAGTGATTGAGGGAAAGGTGGATCTGGTGCTAACATTTTTGTTGAATCCAAATACAGCGTAGATAAAAATTTACTGAGAAACAAAGTATAACAGAAAAAAATGTTGGTTAAAATACAGGAGTATTCTGTTTTTCTTACTGCTTTGCATTTCTACTTCAAGTAAATATCACACGGAGGCGAAAATGGAAGTACCAGCAAACACTTTTATTGATATTTAACCATAACGACATGGACAAAATATGATTTTTATTTAAATGACAATTATATATATATTCAGGTTAGGCATATGATCTTAGAAAATAATGGTGATGACGTAACTAATCTTCAACAATTACGCATATATACAAAGAGCCATAGAACGTACATTCAATGTGGCAAGATTATGTTCTACTTTCTTCAGTTGGACAATAGCGACCTCACGAAATAAGGATGAATTACCTAGTTCTTCGGCTTATACATGTATTTACAATTCCAATTGCACCTGCGGAGCTAGTTATATTGGGCACATAACTAGATAAATGCATCATCATTTCGCTGAAAATCACGTTTCATGCTTAACCAAAGGACATAAAGTAAGTAATAAAAAGCTTTATTTTGATGCATTTAGTCGATACTGGTCACTACAGATAAAATTTCAGTGTTTAAAGTTACTTATAAAATCTCACCGAATTTACCCTATGGTTACAGAATCCAACGCTTAAGCATAACAGAAACCATAGGAATACACATCAGAAAACCTAACCTTTGTATACAGAAAAAGTTTATACAACCTTTGAATATACCCTAACCTTCTACTTAGATACCACTATTACATGTTTCAAAACCTTTCTTTCCCTTCTCTTAAAACATTTTCTGAACTTCGATTTCATTAGCATTTTAATTTCTAATTCTAAATCTTACGTAACCTGTTTATCAATTATATCTCATTTTCACTACGCCCGTTCACATATGGAAAAAAAACATTGATATCTACATCTAATTTTAACTATGTCCCTATGTGTAATAATTAACCGATTATGAAAATTCACCTTAGTTTTCATCTTAATTTTCAAAACGTTATACAACTAGGTGATTACTATTTTACTAGTATAAGGGGTTGTGGAGATTATTACTATTTTGTTAAACTGACTCACCACCATCTAATCGGCATTGACTTTCTACTCACTAATTGAAAAGAAATATTTTAACTACGTAAGTGTTACGCGTGCAAAATTACCACCTACCTCGACGAGCGATGTTGTCTGGGAGAAAGCTATGGGCGGTCAAACCAAAACATGACATCAGGCCATAAAGTTATTGACATTCAAACTGAGTCATATTGGTAGGCTCAAATTACTCTATTGGAGTCCGTTCGATAACCGTGGTTAGAGGTTGATGACATTGTGTGACATGGTTAAGAATCGTCTGAAATGGTTTAAATGTATTCATTTTTGTTTGTTTTCCCTTAGAACCTGAGTATCGAAGTCGCTTTATGCCTTTTTTTAAATCTATTATGCCTAATCCTTTTCACTATTTATGTTACTGTAAGATCTATTTTTGAATAATTTAATCTCATTGTGTTAATGTGGTATGGC